TGCGAGTTCAACGATGCCACGAGCTCAACAACATCACGGGGGTCAACAAGGTCGCGAGCTTGACAAGGTCGCAAGACCAAAGAGGTTGTGATCAACGCCGTGAGCTAAATACTACGATTTCATCGGTGTTGCAAGGTTGAGATCTCAATGACTCCGCGTTGAGTGACAATGTCGCGAGTTCGATAATGTTGTGGAAACAAACAACAACATTGTTTTGCCTAAACTATTTTGGGGATCCGACGACTTCACATCCAGACCGTGTGGCCGAGAGGTCGGCGTTTTGAACCATGATGTTTAATTCACGAACTCGAGCTCGATTAGAAGGAGAATAACTCATAGTGGGACCAACAACATCGTGTGGTTGACGAGGCTACGAGCTCAAAAATGTTGGGAGATCAACGATGTTGCGAGTTTCGACGGAGTTTCCACTACCCAATATCCCAACTATAGGCCAAGTGAAACCTATAATCAGGTCTAGGATCGAATAAGTATTTCAATATCAACCCGAGCGGACTTTCTATCCTTACGTCGACCATTTACACATTATCTAGCAATCGAATTGTGGTTAAAGCTCAGGAAACTAAAATAGTAAAAAAGCAAGCAATTAAATTTGGTCAATTCAAATGAGAAAGTATCAGTAGGACATTGCTCCCCTTAGTTTCGTGTTAAGACACAAAGATGAGACTCTTGTGCGATAGGTAGGATTAAATACCGTAGGAGATCAAAATTAGCTAGAAAACATATTCAAGTGTTTCCTAGTGCATTTAATCTATTGAATAATGCTTGCAAAACCACTTCTTCGGAATTTAATCCATAATAGTGAAAAGTAACCAATCAAGATGTATCATGACACTTCTTCGATGATCGAGGGTTTAACCGAATTGGCCTGAAGAAGGTTGCTCGAATCTCCAAGAGTGGGCTATAAGGGGATTTCCTTCTTCTAGGTGAACTTGTCCCTAGATTAAGGCATTTGATCAAGAACACCCAAATTTCATGAATAATACGTCAATCATTATATAAATCACAAACCCAACACACATAGAGTTCAATTCTTACAATCCAACACATCCTAGACTAGGGTTAACACCATCCAAATGAAGTAGGAGACTACTCCATAGCTAGAAGAGAAGGTACAACTAGAATAGAGAAGAAAACCATAGTCTTCTTCCTCCTTTTCCTAGATGCTTGATTCAACTCTTGGAGGAGAAATCAGCCTTCCTCTAGCCTTAGGTATGTGAAATTCTTCTTCCTTCATTCTTAGCTCACAGGTCTCTCTCTCTCTCTCTCTCTCTCTCTCTCTCTCTCTCTCTCTCTCTCTCTCTCTAAGTCATGAAGAAGAAGCCCCCAATCTCCCTTTAGAACTCTCCCTATTCAAATTAGCTCACTCTCCTTTATATAGCTCCATGGTACACACATCACGGTCTCATATCACGCCCATGAAGTCGATAGTGAAACCGTGATCTCAGCGCTAAATGTGTCGTTTCACTAACGAACTTTACGGGCTACTTGTTGACTTCATGGTTTGGAGACCATGATTTTGACACTGCCCTCGAGACATCTGAAGGCTCCTGGAGTGTCCAATCTTCACGGTTTTCTTGTCCACGTCATGGTATGCGCCTGTGATAATTGCTCCGCAACTGTGATCTCTGCACTTTTGACCATTTTGCTCCCTTTTCACCCTCTTTCGTCTGAATTTTGATCCTGGTGGCAATATCACCTACTTAGGCGTGAAACATGACAAAACACGAACAACCCCCCCCCCCCTCGGTAAACTAGCTCCAAAGACGGTGCAAACACATCAAACGTCACTAGTCATGGGTACAAAAGTGTGTAATCTAACCCGAACCAACAAGTTGGTTACAGAAATTGGTAGAGGAAGAAAAGTGTGTGGGGTTGGAGTGTTCGGAAGCTAGAAAATCACAAGATTCTTTCTATAGCCATAATTCTAGAACTAAGTGGATCCAAGAGGGTGATGCTAACACCTCGTTCTTCCATAAATCTGTGTGAAAAACAAGATCCTAGACGTAGTAGATTACCCTATTGGTTGATTCTCAGGGGCGCGTAGTTACTAATGTGAAATGCTGTAGCAACTTGAAGGTTTTTTGGAACCTTATCCAACACAAGTTACACCTGGCTTACTGTGAATTTTTAGTGAGAGGTATCTACATGCCTAAAATAAGAGAAGTTTTATAGATATTGGGAGAGACGAGGCCTAATGGCTTCCCTATGGAATTCCTCCTGGATTACTGGGAATTTTTGGGAATGTGGTGGAAGAGGTAATCCTTAAGATCTTTTCTACTGGATATGTCTCATACTGTGAATTCTACAATATTTTTTCTTATTGCTAAGCTTCCTTGCTCAAAAAGCATGAAAGATTTTCGTCATAAAACGTGTTGCAATGTGCTGTATAAGGGGATTTCTAACTTCTTGCAAACAGACTTACTCTTGTCCTTGCAAAAGTTATATCTCAAACTGCTTTGTTCAAAGGGAGAGCCATTAGTGACAATATACTATTGATTTCAAAATTAATGAGAGATTACAAGAAAGCCTCCTTATCCTCTAGAAGTGTGGTAAAAATAGCATGATGAAATCATTTGACTTTGTGAATTGGGAGTTTTGTTTGATGTCATGACTGCTATGAAGTTCCCTGATGGTTTTGTGACATTGATCCTTCTTGTATTACTACTCCATGCAGAAGTGTGTTTATAAATGGTGGTTTGTGTGGGAAGTTTTCAGCTAGTAGGGGTTTAAGACTAGGGGACCCTCTATTCCCATACCTTTTCACTATTTCAATCGATGTGTTTGATTGTTTGATTAAGAAGGTTGTCAGTGATAATCAAATTCCTTTCCATCCTCGATTTAAGCCTCTCATAATCGCCCGTCTTGCTTCGTTGAGGACCAAATGGTCTTTACCAAGGTTTTCAACCCGCGGGATGACCCGGACCCGATCGAGCTAGTGGGTCAAGGGTTAATGGGTCACCCGTTTTAGCCCGGAAACATGGAAAGAGTCATTATATTGTACATATCATGATAAATTATATCAAATCTCATCTAACATATGAGTTAAAACATATAATATTACACCAAAATAACCTGTCGTACTTAGATCCAACATATAGTGAAAATTCACACACACTTATACAACATCAATATTCAAATGTTCAACTTAGGATTCCAAAAATTGAGTTAGGCGAAAAGAAAAATAGAAACATAGGCGCATTTCGCATACTAAAGAAAAAAATAGCAAAATTTGACCTCCAACCCGATACTTTGTAGCGGTCGACCCGTCAAGTGCGTGTGAGCCATTTTTCCACCGGGCTAGGGTCAAAGCGGGTCGGCAACCTTGATCTTTACAAATGGGTCTATTCGTCGGGTGGCTGGAATTAGAAGGTCGTTGGATGAGTTCTATCTCATCTCAAGGTTAAAGTGCAATCCAACAAAAAAGTCAATTGCCATGTGTAGGAATTCCTAAGGAGGAAATGGTACAATTATTTATTTATATATTTGCAGCGGCGGATACAGGGGGGGCCAGACTGGGCCCGGGCCCAGCCCTCCCTGCCTCCCCAATACCCAGCCCAGCCGGCAATTTACATGGTAAAAATTTGGGCCCAGCCCAGCCTCAAGACCCAGCCCCAGGCGGCCATCCCTGCAGCCCAAACAACACAAAATAAAAATCTCCCGCCCCTATTCCTATTGGCTTTCCCTGCAAGTTGGAAGACTGGAACAAAAAAAAAAAAGAAAGAAAGAAGACGAACATACTGCTCCGCTGCCGCTGATCTCTGCTCCCCAGTCCGGCAGTCCCCACCTCCCGGAGCTGTCACCCTGAGTCCCTGACCCGGCGGCCGGCGCCGGAGACCCCTTGGCTGTCATCTTGGCCGTATCATCCCCAGTCTGGCAGTCCCCACCCCCTCGTTCTTTCTCCGCAGACCGCAGCGGCTATAATGGAGTCTCTCCTCTGTTTGTGAATTGTGATTCTCTTATCTCATCTCTGAATTGTGATCTGTCTATTATTGCAAAGAAAGTGCGTAGAGAGGGGCAGAGAGGGACAACATCAACAGGTAATTCCAATTTGCCAATTGATCTTATTGTCTTAGTTTAGTTAGTCTTATTTCCTTAAAAACTAAGTTTGTACAGTGCAATTATTCATTAAGCCATTAACATAGAATTTAATATTAGGATTTCTCATATATCTTACTCGGTAGAATTTGTATCCAAATTTACTTAGAATCTAGTGTTTGACTGCGGTGTGTACATGTATAATTGACGATTTGCGCAACAAGATGGGCGATGAATTTCTTGCTGATTGCTTAACTATTTTCTTTGAGAGAGAGTATGTTATTGGTATGGATGAAGACTCAATTATTGACGAATTTGCTAAATTAAAAGACCGTCGTGTACAATTGACATTGTAATGCAAACTATAATTTTTTTTTTTGTTGCGGTATCTAATTTTATGTTCGAATCCGGCCCAGTGCACTTTTATATCCTGGATCGCCGCTGTATATTTGTAGTATTGTAAAAGTAAAGCAGTAGTACTGTAATAGTGGTAGAGCTAACTCGCCTTCGTTTGGCCATTGAGAAGAGGCTGTCACTCTAGAATATGGAGCAAGTTATTGCAAACTCTAAATGCCCTAATTCAATCACCGATCATCATACTAGTCTAGCAAGAGTAGACTGAGAAGTCCAAGTAAATCGCGATCCAGGGAAATCCGAATCCTATCAATGAAACTCACAAGAGTCCAAGCCCAATTAGGTCCCTCCGCCTGCCTTATCTTGTGGATGCAATCTACAACTAAAATCAGATCCGGATCAGATGAGCGAGCAAGTTGGTTACGGGAATTGCGAGTGAGTGTGGCCAAATTGTCGGATTCGGACTGGACATCTCGCACAAAAGTTGGCCGGATCACACCGCTCATCAACATGCCCCCCTTTACTTTACTGCCATTGCTGCCTGAATCGGATGGCTTCAGTCAGTTCGGCTTTTGGACTCGGACGTCCCCCTATAATTGGAGCAAATTACGTGCACCCAATCTGTCGTTTTGCTTCTACGACGACTCACCCCATCTGCTTTGCCTCATTATTTTTCGCTACCCTATCCGCCTCTCTCAAGTTGCCTTGCCTGATTTGGTTCATGGTCGTGAAGGCCTCCACGTGCATGGTCCTCTTTGGCTGCGAGAGGTTTGATTTGGACTGCCTTGGTTGTGAGGCTTCCACGTTGCATTTTTGGGGCTGGCCGGATCGTGACACTTCCAGTTCCAGGGTGTCGAGAGCCCAAAAAAGCCCATCTCCTTCCAACCAGGCCCCCCCGCTCTCTTCTCTTTCAAAACCCCCCCGCTCTCACATCTCTTTCTTCACCAATTCTTCTCTCCCGGCCAATGGATCCCCAACCCCAACTGAGGAGCAGCAACAACACCACCAGGACTTCCCTTGCAATGGAGAGAACCGGCCAATGGATCTTCTCTCAGGATATCCCGACGGACGTTCTCGTCGAAGTCGGGGAAGCAAATTTCTCCCTCCACAAGGTCTTCACCTCACCCCTGCTCTGCTATGGTTATGGTCTATATATATACATCGTCTCTGCCTGCCTTCCCTTTGCTTAATAATTAATGTCTTCTCTCTGAACTGCAGTTCATGCTAGTCGCCAAGAGCAACTACATCAGGAAGCTGATCATCGACTCCAAAGAAACCGATCTCACGAGGATCGACCTCTCCGACATCCCGGGCGGCCCCGAAATCTTCGAGAAGGCTGCCAAGTTCTGCTACGGCGTCAACTTCGAGATCACGGTCCACAACGTCGCCGCTCTCCGCTGCGCCGCCGAGTTTCTTGAGATGACCGACGCCTACTGCGACGCCAACCTCGCCGGCCGGACCGAGGACTTCCTCGCCCAGGTCGCCCTCACCACCCTCTCCGCTGCCGTCGTCGTGCTTAAATCCTGCGAGGATCTCCTCCCCCTTGCTCAGGACCTCCAAATCGTCAGCCGCTGCGTAGAGGTCATCAGCCTCAGGGTAAATGATGATCATAACGTGTTCGATGAAATGCTCCAGTCAAAAGCCCAACCACTAGTGCTGATTTTTTTCTGCTGTGAATTTCTTGTTTTCCAGGCGTGCAACGAGGCCAACTTCCCAAGCCGCTCGCCGCCCAACTGGTGGATGGAGGAGCTCTCCATTCTCGACATTGAATTCGTATCACAAATTATCCCCGCCATGAAAAAGCGAGGCGCCAAGCCTATGGTTTTGGCGAGTGCGCTCGTGACCTACACGGAGAGAAATCTCCGGGATCTCGTCCGTGACCACTCGGGCAGCGGGTCCAAATCGTTTGACCCTGATTTTCCCGATCACGAGTTGGAGCTCAGAGCTCATCAGCGCGAGCTGCTCCAGTCGATCGTCTCGTTGTTACCCGCCGAAAACGCCGCTTTCCCTGTCCATTTCCTCTGCTGCCTCCTCCGATCTGCAATCTTCCTTAAAACCTCCATCGCTTGCAAGAACGAGTTGGAGAAGCGGATATCCGCCATTCTAGAGCACGTGATGGTGGACGATCTCCTGGTTCTGTCTTTCACCTACGATGGGGAGAGGCTGTTCGACCTGGAAAGTGTGAGGAGGATCATCTCCGGATTCGTGGACAAGGAGAAGAACATGGGGGTTTTCAATGGCGGCAATTTCAGGGAATCTTATTCCACTGCTACCCAGAAAGTGGCCAAGACTGTTGATGCTTATCTTGGCGAGATCGCAACTCATGCTGAGCTGACCATCTCTAAGTTCAATGGGATCGCTGTTCTCGTCCCTAAAACGGCCAGGAAGGTCGACGATGACCTTTACCGCGCCATTGACATATACCTCAAGGTACAATTCCACAACTGGTGGTGTTTCTGTGATAATTTATTTAGTAATTCTTCAGTCTCTGCACTTGTATAATTGAACTATTTGTCTGATACCTTTATCTGTGTTCATCATAGGCGCATCCAAACCTTGACGAGATAGAACGGGAGAAAGTCTGCAGCGTTATGGATCCATTAAAGCTCTCCTACGAAGCACGACTTCACGCATCTCAAAATAAAAGACTACCTGTCCAAATCGTCCTCCACGCACTCTACTACGACCAGCTGCAGCTCAGGAGCGGCACAGCCACAGAAAATTGCACCACACCCATGGCGGCAGCGGCGGCCACGAAGAGCCAGCTACAGACCGATGTATCCCTGGTGAGAGAGAACGAGGCGCTGAGAGCCGAGCTAATGAAGATGAAGCTTTACATCACGGACATTAAGAAGACTGGTGGGAGTCAGGGGAGCTCCGGCAAAGCAGGGGGCTCTGGTAAAAGGGGACATTCTTCTCCTCGATGTCTAAAACTTTGGGAAAGCTGAACCCTTTCAGACATGGGTCCAAGGATACTTTAAACATCGATGACAGCGCTGGGATCGACATTACCAAGCCTAGGCGGAGAAGGTTTTCGATCTCTTGAAAGAGATCGATTTGTGTGATCTTGAGTTTATAATTAGTGTTGTATGTGTGAAAGTCATGATTGCTCGGTGTTAAAACGTTTTGTGTGGTGAGAAATTTGTTTATTTTCTATCGTAGATATATTTTACAGTACGTGTAATAGTGTTTTGTGGCGAGACAGTTTGATTCTTTTGTATTTGTATATACGTTTCATGGCCCTGCTGCCGTTGTAATTGTTTTCCCCTAGTTCGCCTCTTTTATTGTTTTGGTGCCGTTGTTTTTCTTCACATCATACATGTAACACCTCGAATTTGAGTCCAGATTCGACAAGTAATAAATGTACTAGTTCGATCGACAATTACGAACGAGAAACTAGAATCAAACCAACTAAGTTTAACGATCACGACACAATTAATGAACCAACCCGAACAAAACCAAACGAGCCCTCACCCTCACAATTAATACACCATGTAAGTAGCTTAACTTCATTGTTTGAGATCACTAGGATCAATACCCATGGCTACACCATGAGAACTTAGTATGATCATATAGCGGCAACGACAAGTTTAGGTGACGTCAAATTAGCGGTCGTTGACTCGTTGTACTAATGGCAATGGTCTTGGTTTAAAAGTTATGTAAGTGTGTGCGTGGGATTTTTGTATGTTGAGTTCTATAGATAATCAGTAAAGTAAAAGAATATGTCCCGCATCACAATCGTAGGCGAGGATAGAGCTATAGAAATTTAATCACACCGAAATTGGTGTGCCATCATTCTATTGAATAACCTATTAATAAGCATACTCTAAAAGTTTGAGTAGCATCAATCGCTCTTATAAAAAAACATACTCTAAAAGTTTCCTACCGAATCCAACATATTGACATAGTTCTCAGGAGATACAAACTTAGGGTTTTGTTCAGTTCTGCACCTGAATTTCTAATTTCAACATGTCCTCATTTTATCGTTCCCAAATTTGCAGCAACATAAACTTCCTGTTTTACAACTCCAAGTATAACCTTGGATTGAAAAAAAAAAAAAGAGAGAGAGTGATAGACCGATAATTACACATGTTTTTACCCCTGTTCTTACACCGTTTGAGATGTGATTTCTCGTGTTTTAGGCCGATTTCACGCTAGGTTGTGCTTGTTTGTGATATTTCAGGTCCTAGTACGTGAATGGAGGCTTGGGAGCAAGTTTCGGGTCAATCAGAGATCAATTGACGATTCGGGAGAAGAAACTCGGGTAAGACCTGAAGAAGAATGGATTTCTACCTCACTTTATGGACAAAGAATCATGCAAGCTTGTCAAGAAAAGAAAGAGGACGAGACTACGAGCGTCTGGGTTCAAACGGCGACTGATTTGGAGTCCGGACGAGGGAGAAACGAAGCTTTGAACAGAAGCACAGAGAGAATTACGGGCAGCCCCTGCCTAATTACGGCCGTAATTGGCCAGGTGGCATGCCCGTAATTTATTGGCCGAGCCTTCTACCCAGAATTCCCTCGCGGTGATAAAATTACGGGCAAGACCCCAAGAATTACGGTCGTAATTCCCAAATTACTGGCGGTAATTGGAAAATTACGGGCGTAACTTCTCCTCCTGCAGCTTAAGTGAAACGCGCGTTTTGGTGCGAATTACGGGCAGGACGTGATTACGGCCGTAATTCTGCCCGTAATTCGCCCAGAGTCGGGTTTTTGAAGGCAGATTCGAGCAACAGAAGAGGAGAGCTGGGTTTTGGATTCCAAACACCCAAGGGATGAACCCTAGAGAGAGAGAGAGCGACTTGGGAACATTCTTGGAGCTATTTTGGAGGATTTCTTCGCCATTGGAGCTCGGGAATCAAGCTTGGAGATGGAGATTGAAGATCTAGATCAGATTTCTGCAGTCTCTCTCTTCTCTATGGAGTAACTTCCCTTCACTTAGGTTTTGAGGAACCCTAGTTTCATGAGCTAGGATCTTTCTTGTATGAAGTTTTGGATGCTATATTGTTTGATTATAATCGAATGATGCATGTTTGTTGAGTCAATTGAAGTCTGATCAACTTTTCCTGATTTCTGCTGCAACCTGAGATAGATAGAATCTGATTAGGTTGCTAGAGCCTCATCATTCGATAGTAGGAGATTGGCTATACGAGAGTTAGCCAGTTTACTGCTTTGTACTGGAATCTAATTCCAGTAGTGGAGTTCTGTTCTTACTGCTTCAGCTTTCTACCCCGGTGAAGGTTAGTCGCCTGCCGGGTAGTTAGACTGAGAGGGCTTGGTCAGCTTAAGAGATTCCAAGCTACTGTCGGATCTTCCGCAGTGTAATCAACAGTAAAACAACCAAAAGGAATTACAACTTGGACCTAATTGAGGGGCTAGGGGGAATCATACCTAAGTGAGTTCCCAAACTGTAATTAGTAGTTTTACTTAGTTTAGTTAGTAGAGTAGTTTAGTTAATCAATCCTTAATCTAGTTTGCTAGATAATGAACTGAAGCTGAGTAATAGTAACTCTAGAGACCCGTGGATTCGATATTTATTACTTGTGCCACTATACTGCAGCCCCTTTCATTGGTTACACTTGGCCATGGTTAGGTGTTGTGTTTTAGCGAGTCAAGTTTTTGGCGCCGTTGCCGGGGACTTTCTAGATTATTAGGAAAGGCAGAAGTTTGTTACTTTAGCGTTTTTCTTTTCTTTTCCACCCTTGCTTTTTACTTGGGTGTTTTTTGTTTTTGTTGGTGCAGATCTGAATCATGGATCCTCATGGCTTCTCCAATCATTGGGGGTATCCACCACCATCCGAGTGGTATTACCCCGAGACCCCCTGGAGCAATCAAGGAGGAGGAGACTATGGATTCGGGTTTCAGTACCAACCCCCATCCTACGAAGAAAAATCAGACCCCTGGGTATTTCAAGAACAATCTCCTTATCAAGAAGAATTCCTCCATCAGCCAGATCCAAACTATCACTTGAGGCTTCTCGTGGAGCAGATTGCTCGAGTACCTGAGACTTCCTTTCCAAAGATGGATATCCCGGACAATGCCCAAACTGGGTTCTCCTACCGTGAAACAGAGGAGACCCTCCTGAGCATAAAGAAGAGCCTCGAGGATCTTGAGAAAGCTTATGCACAACCTGCTCAAGATCACCCTTCTGCTATCATACTAGAAGAGGAGGAGGAAGTAGAAGGCTACAAGGACATTGTGGAGCAAACAGAAGTTATCACGGAGAGCTCCCGTGAAGATCATGATCAAGAATGTCATGTCGTAGCCGACCACCCCTTCCCACATCCCACACCAAGCTTTGAAGAGGTGGGCATGAGTGAGGAGATGCAAGAAGATCTCATGAAAGAAATTGCTTGGCAACTTGCTCTCCAATCCGTGCTAGAAGAAGAAGAGCAAGAAAGGGTGCAGAAAGAAGTTGTGGAGGATGACGAAAGTGAAGCAGGAGGAGTTCTTGATCATTTCCCAGGGGTGATACCACATGTAGAAGAAAGGGAGGTTGAAGAAGAAATTGGCGTCCAGGCTGAGGACGGAGTTGAGGTGGAAGAGGCCTGCACCGGCCACGAGTTACATGTGATATCTCCACCAAACTTCGAGGAGCTGCTTGGCAAGGACCCATTTGCAGTGTCTCTTTGCCAGACCAAGGCCACATCGACATCGGTCCCTCTTGGTGGACGCGATGGTGGCCAATCGATGCTGTCATATCTGGTTTGGGGCAATGAGACAAGAGAAGAGAAGAAGAGGTCTCGCGGGTGGAGACTTCATCTGCATCAAGTACATGAGCCTTCATCACCCGCCACACCACATGCTCGTGACTTGAGACTCCACCTCATCGACGAGAACCTCAACTTCAAGGAGGTTCTAGCATGGACCGAAACTTAGGAGCCATCGTCCGGCTCACGACGTGAAAGAAGCGCTTGTTGGGAGGCAACCCAACCAGTCGGTTTGCATTTCTTTCTCTATTTCTCCTCGGTTGAGTCAGTTTTGTTATTTGATTTTAGAGTCAATAACTCAACCTTTGTGAGATTTTGTGTGGTGTTTGTGTTCTGATTACTCTCTCTTCCTGGAATGCACCGCCTGCCCCGTCCATCATCATTCACCCTTGATCTGGTAACTTCGTTCTACCCTCCTTATCTTTCCTCCATTGAGGACAATGTCGTGCTTAAGTGTGGGGGGGTGTTCGATTATGTATGCGGGTGAATGTTTGGCTGTTTGTGTGCTTGGAGCCTAGTCCACTGTCCAAATTTCGATTTGAGGGCTCCAAGTACGTGTTTCCATGCAAATTGCCTGCTCAGTATGCTTTGAATTGACAGTCTCTATAGTAATGTGCAACCTAGGGAGGTAGTGTAGCACTATGGAGGATGTTGAAGTATAAGATTTTTCCTATCTAGCTCTCTGCTGTGTCAGTTGATTTTGTGAATTAGTGGAGCTAAGACCGTTGAATTCATGTGGTAATGTGGACTCTGTTTGAATTGTGTTATGGACTCGTGTATTGAACAGGGTGCTCATGTGGCAAATGAAAAGCAGTGGTCCTCCATGTCGAAATCATCAAAAATCTTAAACATGTCTTAAACATGGGGTAAGCCCAACGTGTGTGGCACCGTTCATTGCACAAAATCGGGTTTTGGAAGAGATTTTAGTGATCCTTAGTGGGGTACTCCTACAAGGTGAAGCTAAGCTGTCTCTAGTACAAGTAAAACTTCCGCCCGTTGAGCGGTTTGCCTACTCGAGGATGTGTTTTTAAGGGCACGGATAGAGCTTCCGACCCCCCTTGATTTCATTGACCCTCCACACGAGTTGAGGAAAAGGAGTTAAAAGAAGTACTTTGGCGAGCGCCAGATGTACAGAAATTGCTCTTGCTCGACTAATAAGGGTCGACCGTGCAAAAGACTGCAGTTGGAACCCCACTAAATGAAAGAAAAAATGTAAATGAAAGTGAGAAAAAGGGGTTCCAACGGTGAAATGAAGTGAAAGAGCACCCCGGTACAACGAGTCCTTGGTTGTGAATGGTGTGAGTCCCTTTATCCATGAACTGACTTTCTTACTTCTACTTTTTCTCATGATCCTGGCTTGAGTCTAGTACTCGCATTGTGAGAGATAGGGAACGTCTTAGAAGATCAGTTGACCTCGTAAGCTGCTATATGATCTAGGAAATCCTCTACCGACGATAGAGGTTGTATGTTGATATAGAGGTCTGGAGAGCTGCATTGGTTTGAGTTAGGTTTGCTTGGGGACAAGCAAACGGTTAAGTGTGGGGGAGTTTGATAGACCGATAATTACACATGTTTTTACCCCTGTTCTTACACCGTTTGAGATGTGATTTCTCGTGTTTTAGGCCGATTTCACGCTAGGTTGTGCTTGTTTGTGATATTTCAGGTCCTAGTA